GATCGTTGCGAGATTCGCCAGCATGCCACCCTCTAGAAGCTAGAATGTGATTGGGTAGTTCACTATGTCAAAACTACGTTCAGTGAGGCCAAAGTGAGTTTATGCATGTGTGAGAACGGTACGGCTACGCCTACGGGACACGAGGTCGAGGATAGAGGGGCGTGTTCTCGGGTCCGTTGGCCTCTTTCGTAGGGAAGAATTTTGATACCCGTCAAGACGCCTGCTGGGGGCAGCTTTGCGATGAAGCCGTTTGTTCCCCCAGCAAGGCACACACAAGACAGATAGGAGGCGAAAGGGGATGGTGGTGGGTTCGACGAGGAGAGAGGGAGCGCGCACAGACTGACGTCAGCTCTGCTCCTGAAGTACACCTCTGAAAGACACCTTCAGAGGTGTGGTGCACCTCTGAGGCACCTCAGAGGAAACGCTGCACTTCTTTTATCGATCTCGTCGCCAGACTCCGATTTCTCTTTGTCGGGCCATGTGCCGCTCGCTCGTCCGCCCAAGTGACTCGGACGCGCGGTCGAGGGCACCCCACCGTTCCTGGGGCGCGCTGGCGCTCGCCCACAATCGTCCCCCACCCATCCACCCTTTTGTCTTTGAGGCTGTCGCTCCGAGAAAACTTGTCTCGCAGCTGCGAGAAATTACCTTCTCGGGTCCGTTGGCCTCTTTCGTAGGGAAGAATTTTGATACCCGTCAAGACGCCTGCTGGGGGCAGCTTTGCGATGAAGCCGTTTGTTCCCCACTTGTCAACAGCAGGCGCTGGCGCCATTAACGTATCGGCGTTCTCCCACGTGATGTTGACCGGGTGGGCGGGTGGTCATGGAAGGTATTTTAAGGACAGTCACCCAGTCCGATGGAAGGTATTTTAAGGACAGTCACCCAGTCCGATGGAAGGTATTTTAAGGACAGTCACCCAGTCCGATGGAAGGTATTTTAACGTCAGTCACCCAGACGAATGGAAGGTATTTTAACGTCAGTCACCCAGACGAATGGAAGGTATTTTAACGTCAGTCACCCAGACGAATGGAAGGTATTTTAACGTCATGAATCTCATTAGCTTCGACGCCTCGTGATGTGAAGTAGATGATGTGGCACAGAGGCCTACGGCCTGCAGGGCAAGCGCCGCACGAAGCCCAGCACCACCCCTCAGCAGAGCTGGCGAGAATCCTGGCGGATTCGCGCTACGGAGACAAGGGAGAGGGAGGCGCGATTTCTAGGCCCTTGGGGGCCCTACCAATCAGCGCAGTCGGAGAAGCCGGTGAACGAATCTTCGGAGAGGATGGGGCATCACTGCCGCGCTCACTGGGTTCGAGAGATTGTGCGAGAGATTGTGGGAGAGAGCTTGCGTCGGAGTCGTTCCTCCGCTCCCACCTGTCGAGTGCAAGCTTCAGTTCCTTGGAGTCGAGGTACCAGACGCCGTCAACCTGCCCTGCGCTCTGAGCAAAGTCGAGGGCCTTTTCCCTCTCGGCCCGAGCCTGGGCAGCAGCGGCCTGGCGTGTTGCATTTCTTCTTTGCGTTATGACGGCTTCTTCATACACTGAAAAGGGAGAGGGGGTTGTGTTCTCTAGGAC